GGGGGGGAAGGGACAGTGAGGGACTGCTTGGAGGAGGGGATCCAAAGAGCTAGTGGGAGGGAAACAGATGAGCTGGGGGTGAATGGGACTGGGGGTGCAGGATACATGCAGATGGAGGAAGGCTGGCTGAGGTTCAGGGCCTCTTGGGGACAGAGGCAGATGTGCATGAGACTACAGAGTTTTGTCGACAAAAGTGGACTTTTGTCGACAAAACTATACCTGCGTCTACACTACCACTGAGTTCTGTCGACATAATGTCGACAGAACTCAGCAGTTTTGTCGACGCTGGTAAACCTCATTTTACGAGGCATAACGCCTTCTGTCGACAGAGTTTCTGTCGACAGACGGTGTTCTTGCATGTAAACTGTCCTTTGCGTCTACACTACCATGTCGACAAAGCAGCTTGCTTTGTCGACAGAACTGTAGTCTAGACGCTCTTTGTCGACAGAAGCTTTGTCGACAGTATCGGTCGACAAAACTTCTGTCGACAAAACCCTGTAGTCTAGACGTACCCCATGACTGAATGGAAGAAGCCAGGAGTTGGCCAAGGTCTGCATGGGGGAGGCCTTCCAGCTCCCTAACATTCCCACTCCCCCATCTGTTCCATACTTCTCCCATCCACACTCAGCAAGGATATTAAACACAAGGATGTCTCTTGCTTGCTGAGACAAGGTTGGGTAACAAGGTGACTATCTGGGGTATCCAAAAAACCCACAACCAACCTCGACACCTGCTTCTCCCACAGCTTTTTTTACACTTACTTCCATGCTAGACTTTATTCCATTTTACTAATATAGTCCCTGCATTTAGAACTGTACTGAAACCAAGATGAATAAAACCTGATTTAAAAACAAAATTACAATTTTAAATTAAAATTAAAATAATTTTAGAAAAACCCATTTCAAACAAAATCTGAATTTAATACAAATATATTAAACTACTTAGAATCTCATAAAACACTGAATAAAATATTGAATCTGAAAGTTCCAGCTGCCGCCACTACAGGCAGTCCCGGAGTTACGCGGGTCTGACCTATGTG